ACCGATAGTAGCTATGCCTTTGGCATAGCTCATAACTTTAGAATATTGTTAAAGCAGCAAGTCTTAATTTTCTCAGGACAGCTCATAATGAATGGAAAGTAGGCTTCAGAATTATTAGTGCCAAACAGAAACTAAAACAATTGGCAATTATCAAAAATTCCAGGACATTCTCAAACTGCCACCATGGAAGCAAAAGGAAGTTATTTAGCTGATGCTGCAGCTAGACCGGCAACATCAAACGGTCAAATTATCCAAACCTGAGATTGCTTCTTGCTTTCTACTAAACCAACGAAAGACTCTCTTGTATAATTTCAATGGACAGCTGCAGAAGAAAAGAGAATATGGGAACAAAAAGAGGGAACCTCTGTCCCAGGCAAACAGATATGGCTTGGACCCGGTCAGAAACCAATCTTACCAGCTGGGGCTTAATTACCTGTACCTTAACATGTGCATGAGCTAAAACAGAGTCCTGAAAGATGATGTCATGGAGTAAATAGCATTACTGGTACTGCAGCCCATTAGGTGTACAGCAGATTTTATATATCTAATAATTACCCTGGAAAATCATTCCATGGGTCTCAAGAACATTTCCCACTTTTTCTAGATCCGTTTGAGGGACAGTAATTGTATTTTATTCAAATGCTGTCATTTCATGAATACGAATATGTGTTAGTTATGATTTGTATGGGTTCAGTCATTCCCTGCAGGAAAGCAACAGCCTTATGGTCAGTAGTTATTAGGAAAAAATTAATTCCCAGTTGGGGAATTCCTTCTGAGTTACTGCGACTGAGGGATGCATTTTACTGAGCAAATAATGCAATTCACTTGTAGTATGTGGCCCATTCTACATCATTTTCAGTGTGCTTATCACCCCCATTTCTTTGGATTGGTGGAACATACAAATGGTACTATTAAAACTCAACTAGGTAATTTTCAGAAGTTTTTAATCTCCCTTGGCTAAAAGCTCTCCCTATACTGATCCTCCACCTGAAATCTACTTTTGGTAAACATAGCATTTTTCCTTATGAAGTAGTCATCAGCCACTCTAGGAGTCTGAATGAAGGGACATGCAAATCAACTTTTCTGAAAGGAGACATTCTGCATTATTATCACCAGCTCATTAATCAGCCTACAGAGACTGATCAATTAGTAACAATCATTTCATAGTGTGCTCCCAAGTGATGAACACCTCGAAGACAACAACTTACAAGCAGGACACTTTCGTCCATTTGGAAAAAGAAAACACATTAATTAAAGACTCTCTCCAACATTGTTGGAAGAAATCTTATCAGACACCTAACCTAGAATAGACATATTCCCCTGTTTCTGACACTTGCCTCCACCTACCGTGAAGATCAAAGACTTCTCAAGGATGAGGGGCCTTTGACATCAGAGATAGACAGCTATCTCAAGACACTGACAAGGCCTCTATACCTACAAATCGATGCTGAACTTTGATGTAAAAAAAGAGATTTAATTTATTCATTGTAACAGAGAGGAGAAGGGAGGGAGAGAGAGGAGAGAAACATATGAGAGAGGAACATTGATTGGTTGCCTCGTAGTGCCCCGAGCTTGGAGATGAAGCTGGCATCTCAGGCGTGTGCCCTGACAGGGGACCAAAGTGGGGGCCTTTCACTCTGTGGGATGCTGCCCGGCTGAGCCACACTGGTCAGGCTGCTTGATTGTTCTTACCTGCCTGCTAACATTAGTAATAATAATAGTAACTGGACTTGTTCTTTAGGCTTTTCTCAAACCTTGTGTGTACAGCCCAGATGTTAATAATTGCTGAAGGTGTGTAAAGTAACTTTTGTATTATCAATAATACCTTTTTTTATGGTTTCTGTTTTGAAATTTAGAAGAAATGCTATTGGAAAGAGAAGGAAAAGGACGTGTATATTTTTAAGAGAAGTTAAATGGAAGTAGTTTGTCCTAATAAGCTGTTTTCGTAGAAAGTTAGTGGAAAAGGAATATTAAGAAAGAAATTTAGCCCTGGCTGGTGTGGCTCAGTAGATTGAGTGCGGGCTTGCAACCGCGGTTTGATTCCCAGTCAGGGCACATACCTGGGTTGCGGGCCAGTTCCCAGCAGGGGACACACAGGAGGCAACCATACATTGATATTTCTTTCCCTTTCTCCTTCCCTTCCCCTCTAAAAATAAATAAATAAAATCTTTAAAAAAAAAAAGAAAGAAATTTACTCTTTCTTGCCGAGTCTCGGGCAAAGGATGTCATTGAGAAATATTTTAAGTGCAAGAAATGAAGAAATAAACTTGGCTTTTGTTTCTCAGAAAGAAAGAAAGACAGACAGTAAGAAAGAGAGAAAGAAAGAAAGAGAAATAAATAAATTTTATGTATAAATGTCAGAACCTAATTATGGAACTATACTTACCCCCTAACCCAACAGGGACTGAAACAGGTAGAATAAAATGTTCCCCAAAATTGTTCCATTAAGTCAAGCCCTATTGGAACTCTAATAGTCATCAATAGGCAGCCTTAAAACAATGGGACAGAAACTACCATGACTTCTTTTAAGTTTGTTTTTCAGATGTAATGCCAAGTCACAAACCCCAGAGACAAACTCAATACCCGGTTGGGAAGTCCCTTCCTGCATCCCATAATAAGTCTTGCACAATCCCAGAATGCCTTTCTTTATTGATGCATACCTGGACTTCAGTGGGACCCCAGCATTCCTAAAAAGGAAAAAGCCAGCCAAACCATACGCTGTTTGGTTAACCCCAGCAACTTCCGTGTTCCCAAAGATAAAAATCCCTAAGCCCCACATTTAGGGTACAGAACTTGAGGTCCTATCTCAGTGTTCTCACCCTCTGCAGAACCTCAATATATCTGCCTTTGCTTTTATCATTGTCCCTGGTCTAAATTATTTTAATCCAGGAGACAAAGACCCAAACTCATTGATAACAGGAATACTAACTATAGAAGCTGAAATGGCTATAAAAACACGGCCCTCTATAACTGCTGCTAAGAAACCAGACATTTACTTAGGAAACTCTTGGCTCTGGTCAGATAGCTGTGTTGGTTAGAGTGTCGTCTCCATATGCTACAGTTGCAGGTTCAATCCCCGTCAGGGCACATATAGGAATCAACAAATGAATGCATAAATAAATGGAGAACCAAATCAATGTTTCTCTCTCTTAAGAAAAAAACTTACTGTCCTTCTGGCTTCTGGAGTTTTAGATGGTAATTGTAATTTACAGCATTGTGTCTACAGCCTTGGCCCTGATTAAACCTTAAAGTTACAGCTTCCAATCGCACAACTAGGAGGAATCAGATGAATAATAACACCTGAGTGCTTCCAGTGGGAAGGACATGGGCCATAGTAAATAGAAACCCATCTCATGGTCAGATTGTGAAAACTGAAAAGGTGTATGGTGTGCCCTCAAACTAAGAAAATGGTATAGTAGATGCAAAATACAGACAAGTGAGACAGACAGCAAAACCTGGGTCAGGATAGCCGATAGGTTAGAAATGATCTAGAGCTCCTTCCTTCCTTCCTTCCCTCCTTCCCTCCTTCCCTCCTTCCTTGAGAGGGGGAAGGGAGGGAGAAAGACATGGTGAGAGACATCAGTGTACGAGAGATACATCAATAGGCTGCCTGTTGCACGCCCCCAGCTGGGAACCTGGCCTGCAACCCAGGCATGTGTCCTGACTGGGAATCAAGCCAGCGACCTTTTGGTTTACAATCCACTGAACCACCCCAGACAGGGCCAGAGCGTTTTTCTTAATAAAGGCCCATTAGACCTTTATTAAGACCTGACTGCCTCCCATTTATCTGCTTTTCATTTTCTGAGAAAAATGCAGCCTTGAATTCCATCCAGGGTTATAGTCTTGCCCCCTCCCCAGTGGTCCACTGCTCAGCAAGACAAACTAAGACTTCTAGGAATGAGGCTTCCTAACACCGTGGGACTCTGTTATCCAACCAAAAGGTTGGTCGTCGATGCATGCTTTGGATTAATGTATGACCAAAAGGGGGATGTGTGGACGAAAAGGGGGCCACATATTAAACCTGACAAGCTCAGGGGAGGCCTGTACCTTGCATGGCAACCTTACAAACTCAGAGACCTAAAGTAACCACATAGGATGGTCTGGAATTAAAATTTCTTAACTAAAAGCGAGTCATGGCAGGTAGTCACGTCCTAGGCTGGTATCCTCCTTGACTGAGCCTGTCTATGGTCTTTTCATACCTATGATAACATAGCTTTGGAATGTCTGAGTAATACCTTTTTCCAGACCCCTCAGGGCACAATCTCCAGCAAGATTATATTGTTATTATTATCATGTTGTTTTTTAAAAGATCTTATGTATTTTTAGAGTGAGGGGAAGAGAGAAAGAGAGGAAGAGAAATATCAATATGTGGTTGCCTTCCTCAAGCCCCCTACTGGGGTGCTGGCCTGCAATCCAGGCATGTGCCCTGGCTGGGAATCGAACCAGTGACCCTTTGGTTCTCAGGCTGGCACTCAATCCACTGAGCCAACCAGCCAGGGTTTACTACCATGTTGATTGTTAACTGTTAAGTGTCTTATACTGGTCTATGTAAAAGAAGTATGTGTCTATTCTTTTTATCCAATCCCAGAGTTTTCCCTACTTTGCTTTCCCTCGCCTCCCTAATCTATCATCAGTGAATTTTATGTAACCCCCTATAGCTTCCCCTTGGATTCTGTTGTATAAAATAACTGCCATTTTATGGAGCATTTTCTTAATCAGTTGAGATTTTGCTTCCAGGCAATTGTCAGATTGGCTCAAATAAACTCATAAAAATTCTTACAGGTTTGGATGTTTTTTATGGTGATACTTCTCTCTCACTATGGAACAGTAAGCCCTGTGTGCTTGGGCTCAGTGGCTTCTGGAGGGCAAGGCATGCATGACCTTGACCACAGGAGGCCCAGGGAAGCGTGCAAATGATGCTGGAGCCAGTACCCATGTCCACGTGTGAGTCTATGGCAGAGTGGGCCACCTGAGCTGTGGCTGTGGAGTTGGGCCCTTACCTCGGCCTGAGTGAAGTTTACCAGGCTCTCCCCACTGCTGCCCTTCTGGGTGTGGAACAGCCGGCCAAGCTGAGGGCCCTGCACCACCCAGTAGAGTAGGTGGTGGGGGTCGGTGCCTGTGCTGGAGCTGGCTCTCAGGCTCTCGCTGCTGAGCGGCTGGACAGACCCTGTGAGAGGCAAAAGGGGTCTGTCAGACTTTTCCAGGAGCCAGGGCAAGGCCTGAGGCTGCTGGAGAGGCACCCTGACCCCGGCATGCCACCCGCCCTTGGCAGACCCACCTGGGCAGACAGTTAGCCTCTGGCTGCCCTCCAGTGAAAGCAGCAGCTGCTTCTGGGCTGTCACTCGGAAGAAGTGTCCAGGCGAGGTGTGCCTGCCATCAGAGAGGCTGAAGCGGAAGCCTCCATCCAGGGCCCCTGAGGTCAGATGTAGATAGAGCTGGGTCTCACTGTCCATGCCCACCCTCGGGGTGCCCCGCCCTCATAGGGCCCCCCCTTCTCGGCACCCACCTCGGTGTGAGAACAGCACGAGCCCACTGTCCAGTTGGGTCTGTGTGAAGTTGTGCACCTCGGTGCCCTGTGCCGCCTTCAGCACTACCCGTCCATTGCTGGGCTGCTCGATGCTGTAGACCAGGTCCTCGGGCTCTGAGTCACCATCTATGCCCCTAAGGGCTGCCGTAGGGATGGGCACAGTAGCCCCCTCCCACATCTGGAGACACAGGCCTGTGAAGGTTCTGCCCCCACCGGGCCATATTGGCCCCCCCTGCACAAAGTGCCCCACACTATTTACCTTTCCCTGCTGTCCCAGGGCCCCCACACCCAGGCTCCCTGCTCCCCTCTGCCCTAATCTTGACTGTCCCTCAAGGGCAGCTCCTGTGCCTCTACCTCAGGAAGCTCGCAGCTCTTACCTCGCAGACTTCTCACCCCTAAAGGCCCCCAAGCTCGATCAATAGCACTGCTCAGTCTGGTTGTCTCTCAGGCAGGGCAGGTGTCCCTGAGAGCCTCCATAGTGAGTCTGGGCAGGGGCTGGGCAGGGGCTGGCCACTCTATGGGGACAGTGACTTTGCCTGCCTAGGAGACTTAGAAATGGGCTTCCCTTCCGGGTAAGGGAGTGGGTGGGAGGCAGGAAGAGCTGAAGCAGCACTGGGATGAAGGCAGTTAGCAGCCCCCAAGGGTGAGTGAGGGACAGCTGGATGCAAAATGCACCCCCCACGCCCTCCCCACCCCCGCCCATGCTCAGAGTGGAGGGGAATGCCCCTCAGCCTCCCACCTGCCAGCAGGGCAGGATCTGTTCCCAGAGCCCTGGTACTTGTCCTGCTGAGGTAGCAACTTGGGAGCAGTATTGGGGAGGGGCTTCCATAGCTGGAGAACTGAGCCCTCTGGGATGCAGGGCTCCCTCTCCCAGCCCCAGGCTGACCCCTGCTAGAGCTCTAGGAGGGGGGTCACTTTGCATAGAGGTTCCTGGAGCAAACAAGGTGGATAGCACCACCTGGTGGCTGAGCTTCCACAGAGCTTGACTTGCCCGTGGTCCTTGGGCAGCCCTCAGCCCTCAGCCCTCACAGCTCTTGCTGGTCTCCCTATCACCAGGCTGCTCTTGGCCGGCACATACTATCCCACAAAATGCCCAATGTTCATGTCACAGACAGCTTGTCAGCCCTTTTTTGAAGCTTCCAAGGCTCCTGCTGACCTGCAGCCCACACCCTAGAAGTCAGCATTCAAGGTCCTACCCATCTGTTGGCTTGCTGGGTGGCCTTGGTCAAGCCACACTCTTTCTGTTCCACCTATAACTACTTTTGAGACTGTGGAGAAGTTCTGTCATCTGTCTGGGCCTCAACTTTCACCTCTGCTGGGTAGCCACACCACCGCTGTGCCCTGTGGCTACAGGGTGCCTGTGCTGGAGCTGGCTAATGTAGGGGGCAGGGGCTTGGGAAACCAAGCTGTGAGCTTTACTTGCTGAGGGTGGAAGTGGGGAATGCACCTGGAGTCAGCCCTTAAGGGCTTGAAAACACTTTCTTCAGGAGTTTGGTCCTAAGCCATAGAAAATCCCTCCTGTTGAGGGTGAGTCTTGGAAAGACCAAGTGTGGCCATTCGTAAGGCTGTCTACAGGTCTTCCAAAGTGTCTGAGGGAAAAGCCTCACACCTGTGTTCCATTTCCAGCGCAATAGCTCTTCTCTCTCCCCGACAACCCAGTGAGGCATGCAGCAGTGTATCCCTTAGAATAGGGATATTCTAAGGAGGGGAAAACGAATACTCAGAGATGGGGAAGCTGTGCATTGGGCTCTCTCCGGGAGGGGAAGCGGGAGGAAGTCCTAGATTGCTCTCACCTGCAGGCCCGTGTTTGTGGTGAGGACTGGGGGCTGGTCGTTGACAGGAAGGATGGTGATGGCGAAGGCCACCGGATGGCTCAGGCGGTTGATCTCTGAGGCATTAGCCACCAGGATGAAGCTGTCTGTCTGTGTCTCGCTCCCATCATGAACATAGTGGATCAGCAGCTCCTCCACCTATGGGCCGGCCAGGAGCTAGAAGTCACAGTCAGCACTCTTTCTACTCTGCCTCTGGGAGGGGGAGGAGGCTGAGTCCCTCAGAGCTTCAGTTTCTGCAGGTGGGGACAACGCTCTCTCCCAGAGGAAAGGAATAAAGGGATGAAGGAAATGGGGAACGGTCCTTTCTACCTGTCCAGTGAAGAAAGAATGAGCCCAGGCATCTGAAACAGATGTGCTCTGCAAAGGTGGGCTCCATGCTTCCTCTCTGCTCACATCCCCAGACTGGTCACCCCCAGGGCTCCCCCACTGTGCCCCCAGAACTGGGCTGTCCCCCAGTGCTTCCCTGACAGCATACCTCTCTCCAAGAGAAGGTACTGAGGGTCTCATTTTGAGGGTCTCCCTCTCTTTGCAGCATCCCGTGCTGGGGTGACTCTAGCACCCGCAGGCGAAGGTCCGGCAGCATGCGGAAGTAGGGCCTGGGGATGTGGATCAGCGGAGGGGCCACGGTGCAGGAGCCGCCCTCGGGGACACTGAAGTTCTGTGCCTCCAGTGGGATGGTGGCAGGTAGCACCTCCAGCTCCATGTGGACACCTTCAAGGGTGGCACCCAGGCCTGAGGTCACATCCAGGGAGAAGGAGTCACTCCAGACCTCAGGACGGGAATGCAAGTACAGGACCCTGCCCGCATCCACTGCCTCCTGAGAGAAGCTCCGCACGGGGTCCAGGCTGCGCAGCTCGGCCACAGTGGCGGCGTGAGACAACATTACCAGGTCGCCAGCACTCGGGGGTGTCTTCACTGAGAACACAATGTCTGCGGGCGGCACTGCCTCCTGGGCTGCCTGGTTAACAGAGGGTCGGGGGGACTCACCAGAGGCACAGAAGTGGGCCATCATGGCCTCTGAGACACATTCCCTGAGATGTACACAGTCACACATCCTCAGATTCAGTGACACAAACCTATAATCTCATTAAACGCTGATGTCTGAACAAGGACACACAGTCGTCCCACACAGACACACACACACACACACACACACACACACAAGTCTCACCCCCGCTATTGCCACTTCTCACCACCAGACAGCACTCCATTCTTCACTCCGCAGACACTCTAGGCTCTGCGGAGCTTGCAGACCCAGCCCAGACCAGGGGCTGCTGGGTGCTCCCTCATCTGATCATCACCCCCAAATTAACGTTCCTGATTCTGTGCCTTTGCCTGGACTGTTTCTTCTGCCTGTGCTGCGGTTCTCCCCATTCCCTGCTATTGAAACCCAAGAAGACTCTTCAAAACCTGGTTCAAATGCTGCTTCCTCCAGGGCAAAGACAGCCTGATGCCAGACATGTTTAGTCACATTCTGCCTCAAAGTCCAGCCAGCCAGAACTGCAAGGGGCTCAGAAATTAGCAGTACAAGAGCATAGGACCCAGAGAGGGCAAAAGACTGGCCTAAGGTCACATAGCAAGTTGGTGGGCCTGCTGGGAGGCCCACCGTTGCTCCATGAGTCTCTGGGGGGTCAGCAGCCCTCTCCAGACCGTGAGTCCTGGCCCGAGGTCTGGGAAAAGAACTGAGGCAATGGGAGCCTGGGCGCAGCCAAGGCTGTCTCCAAGGCCTACAGTCCTCAAAGTTGTTTCCATGAAAACTCTTCAGAGAAATTATCGTTAGTAGAATACAGATTCTGAGGCTCAACTTCAGAGATTTTGGGGTCTGGGTGAGGCCCAGGAATCTGCACAGTTAGTTGCAGCATGTACACATAGGCACATGTCATGTGGAACATACACAATGCACACAATGCACACACATAGGCAGCTCTATGTACAACAAATTCCCCAGAAACCCTCGGGCACACAACACACATATGCAAGGTGTGCGTGTACACCCGACTCGGAAACCACTACAGGCACACCTGGAACATCCAAGCACACACGGCAGGAAGGCCCGCATTCCTGTTCACCACCCAGCCCTCTACCTCCAGGTGGTTTCTTCTGATCTCAGTCGCCTCCCCCTGGAAGATGAAGACCTTCTTGTGCTGAACCAGGTGCAGTGGAGCCAGTCTCCCTTCTAGGGCAATGGTCACATGCAGGGTTGCATCTGTGTGCACAGGCCCTGCATCCACAGAGAAGGCCAGGGTGTCATGGGTGCTGAGGCTGCCATTGTGGCTGTAGAGAATGGCCCCATCCGACAGGTCCTGATGAAAGAAGGCTGTGACTGGCTGGCCTGCTCGGAGCAGCTGCCCCCAGTGTGGGCCAGCTGTGACGTGATAGTGGACCTCATCCCCACTGCGGATGTCTAGGTTCGTGTCCAGGTGGAGTACAGCTGTGCTGATCGTGCCCTGCCCTCCTTGAGGGACCACAAGGTTAGAGCCATTGACCACGCGGAGGTAGGGATCCGAGGCCTGCACTTCAAGCAGTGTGGTGGCCTGGTGCTGCCCGTCAGATACCTGCAGCTGGATCCAGCCACGGTCAGCCCCTGAGTGCACAAATAGTACTCGCCTCTTCCTGAGGTCCTCCTGGGTGAAGCGGTAGATGGGCCGCGTGGGCTCATCCACGGCCACAATATTGCCAAAGAGGAGGTCCTTGCGGGTCAGCACCAGCTGGGCATCAGTAAAGCCGGAGTCAGCATCGCTGAAAGCCACGTCGTCTGTAGTGAGCAGCCGCCGCCCACCCCGGGCTACATGGAAGATGCGGCTGATGGTCTGCACAGGGGCGTGGTCATTCACTGGCTGAATGGCCACTCGGAAGACACCACGTACCTCTTCCCAGGCCATCCCACCACTGCCCTCACCCTGGCGGGTAGCCACAAACGGGATGTCATCTTCCGTGGTCTCGGAGTCATCATGCTGGTACACCAGCCGGCCATGCAGCAGGTCCTCGTTGGTAAAGGATGTCACTGTGGTGGTCTTATCTTGTGCCCCCCGCCATGCCAACCTCCCATGGCGGGGCTGCTCCATGACCTCATAGAGATAGCTGGCACTGTTAAGACTCTTGACAAAGAGGTGGTCAGCAGAGAGGACAGCCTCACCACCTTCAGGCACTGATAGGAGAACGTTGGTGAGTATGGGAGCATCTGGGTCACCGCCGATATAGATGGGGAAGGCATAGATTGGGGAGAAGTGCGGCGGAGCTGTGACACGGAAATGGAAGACATCCTCAACCACCTCTGAGGCACGTGCTGTGGCCCCGTAGGTCACCCGACCAGCCTTCAAGTCATCCTGGGTGAAGCTCTGACCTTCCGACAGCCGTGTGCCCTGGAGCCGCAGATTTCCCTTCCTGGGGGCCTGAACCACCTTATAGTGGAAAGTGGGGGGGCTTGGCCCTGCCTGCTCCAGGGTGGCCCTCAGGTGGGCTGTGGTGAGGGCCTCCTGCTGGGTGTTCTGAGTGTGCAGTGGCTCCAACTGCAGCATCCACACGGTGGCTCTCTGGACCGTCACTGCGAAGGACAGATTGCTCAGAATCTCCTGGCCCACCTGCACCTCCAGGGCCAGCTTCTCCACCGTGTCCTCCATGCGGTGCTGTGGGTCGGTGCTCAGGTACCTCACTCGGCCCTGCTCCACGTCCCTCTGGTGGAAGGCCTGTGAGGCCCGCCACTCCGTGCCTTCTGCCCCTCCTGCCCCCTGCTTCTGCAGCTCCCCAAACTGCAGGGCCTCGGTGACTCGGAATAGCACACTCACATCCTGCCCTACAGCATTTGTCTCCACTGACAGGTTGGAGGGCAAGACCAGCGCAGCGGAGCCCTGGGCCAGGTGCAGCCCCGTGTTGTGGCGAATTTGAATGGCTGGCCGGACAGCCACCACCTTCAGTGTGGCTGGGGAGCTGGCCTGCAGCCCATCGCTGACCCGGAATGTCAAGTCCTGGGCAGGCCCACCACGGTGGACATAGACAAGGCTGCCCGCTTCTAGCTCCCGGCAGGAAAACTCGGTCGCTGGCTCCCCGGGCTGGTCTCGGCGTTCCACAGGGCTGTTAGCCAGGGCACTGAGGAGCTGGAAGGTAAGGCCCTCACAGGGGGAGTCTGGGTCATAGGCCTGGAAAACCTCAGGCCCCAGTGGCTTCTGTGTGTGTTCCAGGATCACCATAAGGCTGCCGTGCGGGAAGATGATGTGGGGTGGGTCGTTGACAGGGTTTATCTGGATGGGCAGAATGTAAGTTTGGCCCCTCCGGAGGCAGGAGGGCACGGGTCCCCAAGCCGTCACTGACACCTCCAGCACCAGCTGGTCCTCGGTGTCCTCGGAGCCACTGTGGATGAAGCGGGCCTTGCGGTTCACCACATCCAGGAGGGTGAACATTTGCCGAGCCTGCGCACCTGGAATGTCCAGCTCTAGCTTGCCGTGGCGTGGCCCGCGGCTCACACTGAACAGCACCTGGGATTTGCGCAGCTCAGCCTCCCTCAGGTCCAGCGTGGGTTGTACGTGCCGCCACTCAAGCCAGGCAGTGCCACCCTCAGCCACCACCAGGGGGCTGATGGTCAGCAGTTGGGTGAAGTTGGCAAAGATAGGAGGCAGCCCAGGTTCAGGCACGCAGGGCTCAGGCAGCTTCATGGCTGGCCAAACCTCAGGTACCAGAGTAGAGAAAACTTCATAGGGGCCATAAGCGTCCTCTTCATATTCGTCTTCCTCAGGCTTGCAGCCGGCCACCATGTTACGAGTCAGCAAGGCTTCCCGGAGCCCTTGCCTCTGGCCGTTGATGCTGAGGTCCTCCATGCAGCCCACCAGGGAGACACTGACAGCCCCTGGCGCCAGGCCTAGGCGGTGTTCCTGGAGATGGCGAGATGCGTCTGCATCTAGCCCCCCGAGGAGGAGACGGCCGCGAGGCTCCAGGTAGTTGAGGACCCCACGGTTGGAAGTACGTGTTGGGTACTGGTCCACAGAGATTTCCAGCTGGTGAACATCTATGTGGACACTGACCTCATGGGGCTGCCCATCAGCCACAGGCACACTGTTGTGGAGCAGCACAGTGCCCTGGCCTTTCTCCACCACAGCCCGCAGATGGCCCTCAAATACATCCAAGTAGATGAAATCCCCGTGCTGGCCCCCTGCCTGGAAGGCCAGGGGTGCCTGCTGGTTCCTCGTGGTGAGTGTGAACTCCAGGTTGCCCTCAACCTGAGTGCTCCAGGCAGGGAAGGCAGCCAGTGAGTGGGGCCCAGAGAAGCCCAGAGCCACCTCATCACCAGCAGAAAACTCTTCCGCACAGCCCTCGTGCACGTCTGGGGTCAGTAGCTGTAGGAGGCTGTGGCCATTGAGGGTAGCTACATGGAGGCAACCCCTCAGGGGGCGGCTAGTTCCCCTTAGATAGGGCAGGCCCAGGCTTCCAGTGCCTCCCACGAAGAGCCCATAGGGGACCTCCAGAGGGCCCCCCTGGAATGGGGCTGAACTGTTGAGGAGCCCGTCTACTGACAACCGGGCCCAGCCGTCAGATACCTTCAGCCCCACTGTGTGCAGGACAGAGTCACTCAGCAGCATCTCTGACGGCGTCTGTAGCTTCAGCTCTTCCTGGCCTAGCACAAGTCTGACCTGAGGAGAGACAGGGATTGGGGAAGACAGCACCGTGAGTCTATCACTTCTGTTGGAAAAGCAGAGTTGGTCCCCAGGCATGCTAGGGGTCCGCGGAGGAGGGCCTAGGACAAGGGCTTCTCCTGCCAGCCCTCTCTCCTTCCTGCTCTCTTCCCTCACTCCATAAACACTCCCCAGAGTTATCCTTGGGAGGCCTGGACAGCTCTGGACCCCAATATGAGTCAGATGCAGTCCCTGCCCACAAAGAACTGACATCTAGAAGATGCTGTCCTAGACATTCAACCTGGATTTTTTATTCTTTCTTTTTTTGAAAAGGATTTTATTTTTTTAGAGAGAGGAAATGGGAGGGAAAAAGAGAGGAAGAGAAATGTTAATGTGCCAGAGAAACATCAGTCCGTTGCTTCTTGCATGCCCCCAGCTGGGGACCTGGTCAAAAACCAGGCATGCGCCCCAGCCAGAAATCAAACAGGCGACCTTTTGGTTTGCAGGCTGGCAAACCAAATAGCACTGAGCCCCACCAACTTGGGCTATTCTTCCCCCTTTTTCTGGGTGAGCGGTGACAGAAAAATTGCCTTGGGATACCTGGAAACTCTCTGCCGAGGGCCCTGAGTGGGGCAAACATGGGGCGGGGGTGGGGGTGGCAGTCCCAGAGACAGCCAGGCTCACTGTTCAGGGACGGGGAGCCCAGTCAGAGGCTCTGCGTGGTAGAGGTTTAGTAAGAAAAGCTCCCTGACCTGAGGTGAGGGGAGATCCTTGGGGGGAGAAGAGGAACATGGTTCTGTCTACAAGACAGGGACACCAGAGCCGACTCTGGTGCAGTGCTCCCCCCAACCAGATGGCAGGACGGTTGGTAGCAGAGCTGGGGAGCTGAAATAGCAGACCATTAAGAACTGAGACCTTGGGAGTCCAAGTATGGAGCCCCTTGGTAGGGGTGTGGCCTCATTGTTTCTGACTGAGAGGAAGGTTATAAGCACCGGGCTGTACCAGGCATGTTCAACAGTGACACCTTATGACAGTGAGAAACAATGGCAGCATCAGATGGACCAGTGGATGACTAGGCCACAGTGGGGTGTGGACACAGATGGCTCTCACTTAGACTAAGACCTTGGGTTCTCAAACCCTTCATGGTTAGTGGGGAGTCTCAAGAGAGTGCCAGAGAATCCTTGCAGTATAGCTTGTGGTGACTTGAAGGATGAAATGGAAAGATGAGAAGGTTGTGGCATGATCAGTGTTATACAGAGCCTAGGTTAGCAGTGGGGGTGGGTGGGTGGAGTGTTCACACTGAGACTTCAAGGATAGGCTAGAGGGGGCAGGTGCAGGGAGTGAGTGAGACAGGCACCAGGCAGGAGTGGAGTGAGAAAAGGCCTGGCAGTGACAGACCACAGACAACCAGGGAATTGAAAGCCATCAGTGCTATCAGCACCCAGAGGGCCAGCTACAGTTGTGGTGAGAAGTGAGGCTGGAGAGCAGGAGGGACTCACAGCTTCTGGAACACTGTGGTCCATCTCACAATAGAGAACTTGAGACCCCAAGGTGAGAACAACTTGCACAAGGTCACACAGCTTGCTAGGGGCCATTGAAAGCTAGAGTCCAGCAGGGAGCTGTCACTGACCTGCAGGCGTCCAGAGTAGAGCTGCAGGAGGAGGTGGTCGGCTGGGCCTGCTGCCAGAAGAAGTAGGGCTTCGGGCTGGGACGTAGAGAACTGCAGCTGTAGGTCTATGTTGGTCAGAACTGTGGCCACAAACACCTCCAGGTGGTTTTCACCGAAGAAGGAGGCTGTGTGAGAGCAGGAGTCTTGGTCAAGTCTCAGGCCCTTGCCTGGGGAAGGGGAGGTGCTACAAAGTGGATAGGTGGGCTTCAGGGAAGGGTTTTATGCTGGCACACCCTCATGGTTCTTCCATGTGGCTGTAAGGTGCCCAGCGTAGATCTTACCTCTGAAGGCCAGACCCAGCAATTCCAAGCAACTTGGGTCTCCTCTTCAGAGATTCCTAGGGCCAGGGGCCTCTGCCAACAATGGCTCTCCTCCCCTGGGCTCCAGCCGAATCTCCATCCTGGGTCTGGCCCTTCCCTGGCCCAAAGGGAAACCATCATTGGCATGATCGCCTGCCTGGTGTTCACAGATCGCAGGACTGGAGTTCCAGAAGAACCCAAATGACCCCAGCTTAGATTCCTTCTCCTGAGTGCTCCTTACACTCTGGCCATGCTTTCCATACTCTGCCCTACATCTGCAGGTGGGCTGGGGCCATGGCTGGGGCCTGGTGGTGGTGGTGTCAGGCAGCCCACCCATCCTTGCTTTTCTCTTGGGCCATGCTCCCAGCTGCCTTTGGGGGGTGGCAGAGGCAGCTTGTTGGCCTGAGTCCACCGAGGAACAAAGGTTCTAAAGCCAGATGGAGGCCATATGCAGTGCTGGACCCCAAATGGGCCAAAACTTCCTGCATCATTCCATGTTGCATCCTGCTATAGAGCTATTAATGGTCCCTGATGAGCAATCAGATCCGGTCCCATTGTTTCCACCATGGCCAAGAAGCAAGGAATGACAACAGCTGGGTTCTCCAAGCCTGGGTCTGATATTGAAGTCAAGGCCTAGGAGATGCTGAAGGTCTGCTGGGCAGGCTAGTGGGCCTCCCAAGACAGAAAGGTTACTGCGCAGAGTCCCCTTTGTCTCGTACAGGGACACCTCCGTTTTTTAAGTTGATACCTCCTTCCAGGCATTTTCCCAAAGTTAGCCTCCCCTGTCCTCCAACCAGCTGCCACAGTTTCTGGTCTATTTCTTTGTGGCGATTAGGGCCGAATATAACTTTGAGTCTGTCCCGCAGATGTCCAGGGCTTGGAAGGGCAGACAGGAAGGGGTTAAAGAGATGATTCATCTCTGCTGGGCTTCACTTAAACCATGTGTGTGTGAATAAAGGCTGATGGCTTTTATAGGGGTGATCTGGCACCAGCCACATGCCTGCTCGTCCTGGGCCACCCTGTATCGGTGGACATGTGTCTGCAGAGGCAGCCACCGGAGGGTCTGAGGGATGCGCGCCCTACAGCAGCCAGCACCACCTGAGGGGCTCCTCCCTGGGTGGGGCCAAAATCCCCTCTAATCACCTCCATTGCCAGCACTTGTTGGAAACATCAGAGCCTTAGTCTGGAAGCTAAACGAGTCAAATAAGAACTGAAAAACCATCTGGGCCTCGTGGTCTGGCAAGCCCGGCAGACCTCAGTGTTGGTGAGGGACCGGCCAGGGGACTGACAGGTGAGGCGCACCTATGGGGGCGACTTATCTGCAAGGACATTGATTCGTATTTGTAAATTTTATTCATTGATTTTAGAGAGAAAGAGAAAGAGAGGGAGGGAGGGAGAGAGAGAGAGAGAGAGAGAGAGAGAGAGAGATTTGTTGTTCCACTTATTTATACACTCATTGGTTGATTCTTGTATGTGCCCTGACCAGGTACTGAACCTGCAACCTTGGTGTATCAGGATGATGCTATAACCAACTGAGCTACCCAGCTAAGCAGAACACTGATTCTTTAGAACAAAATACAGCACACTACACTGAGGGCAGCCACAGAGCAGAGGGTGGGGAATGTGGGCCCTGCAGAACAGGGCCACCAACACGGTGGGCCAGAGATCATAGCAACTGGCAAGAGCTGACTAAATTTTTAGAGATTTTGTGAGCCAGGTGATGTTGCCTGGTGAGAATATACCAGGGAAAGAGGCCAGTGTGACAAGTGAGAGCTCCCTGTCTCTCAGAGAGGCTGTTGCTAAACATTTCCTTGCCTGCCACCCATAAGGAGTGAGTCCTGCATGGGAGTTGAGCCCACATACCCATCCATGCTTCCTTTTGCTAAAGGTGGATATAAACCTTGTGAGCATGGCCAAGGTCAGGGCTCTGGACCAGGCAGGAACTGAAGTAGCTGGCTGGCTCTAACCACTGAGCAACTTGCCTCTAGTCCCCTCAGAGCAGGCCAGTTTGGCTGGGTTCTCCACGCCTAAGGGGGAGGGCAGCAGGAAGTAGAGGTACTTTCCAGAAGGCTGGAGTCTGAATGGGCTCATTGAGGGGCTGGGCCCTGCTGTTTCCAGTGAGACCAGGCGGGGAAGGACTCATACAAGCAGCCTTGTGCTATGCCGGGAGTGCGTAGGCCAGGCAGCCCCTCCACCCTGCCGCAACGGAGGTTTCTGAGGCCTTGCTGGCCAGGGTTTTGGAAACTCTGACAGTCCCCCCTACACCCCCACCACCCCTACTTCCCGGTCTCCTTCTTCTGCTCCTCTTACTGTCTCTGTGGCGCTGCAGTTGCCAGAACCTAGAATCTCTGTCCTGGAGGGAGGGAAGTGGGAAAGGGACTTTGAATGGATAGGGGGTGCAGGATAAAGAAGTAATGAGCTAGCCCTGGCCAGTGTGGCTTAGTTGGTCGGAGCGTCGTTCCATAAACTGAAAGGCGGAAGGTTTGATTCCTGGTCAGGGCACATGCCTGGGTTGCAGGTTCCACTCACCATTGGGAGCTATCAATGTTTCTTTCTCACATTGATCTCTCTCTCCCTCCTTTCCTCTCTCTCTAAAATTAGTTAAGTGTGTACTCCAGTGAGGATCAAAAAAAAAAAAAAAGAAGTAATGAACTAGGGGGTCAATCCCCAAGGGCTTCCTGGGGGGTGCAGAGGCGCAGAGAGGGAGGAGAATGGGTAGTAAGGACAAGTGGGAGCCTGCCAGGAATATATAGGTTCTGGAAAGTTGAAGACAGAGCAGTAGAGGGAAAGGTAACATGCATAAGCCAAGCTTAGTGGCCTGGTGGGGTGTTGGGTGGTGGGGGAAGAGAGGAGGCATTAGCACTGCCTGGAGACCTTCCCTGGACTCTTTTGGGTGAAGAAGACCCATGATTCATCAAAACACCAGCTCAGGCCTGCAGCAGCTGGAGAAGGGCTCCGTGCAGGTCTCCAGTTCACTATTTTGTGAAGTGAGTACTCACTCCCTTCCACTCCTCCCTCCTCCTGTCTAGGGATTAGTGATGGAGGTCCCTCCGGCATCTGCACATGGGTATGCAGAGAGCTCACGTTGTGGGCTGCCTGGGTGGTGCCAGTCCTTCTGAATGGTGGGAGCAGGATGGCCACAGGGTCTAGGGATAAGTGAAGGCGTGGGAAGAGCCCCCCCCAGTAGGGGTTTCTCTGACTGGAAAAAGACATGTGTCCAGGGCTACAGAGATGTGTATTTGCATGTGTGTGCAAGTGTGTGGGTGGCTGCTGGGTGTATTTAGGATTTATGTAAGGCTGTGTGTTTGTGCATGTGTGCGTGTGTGGGCTGGGAGCTGCCAGGACAGAGCGGTGATTGTGCCCAGGCCTGTCTTGCCCCTCGGTGCCTATCCACCATGACTAGGCTGCGCCAGCTCCGTGAAAGGAGCTCTGTGTTTCTGGAAGGTTCCTGCCCCTCCTGCTCAGCGCCCATCCATCCGAGACATTTACTGAAGGTGGAAAAGACCCATAATATCCCACCCTTCCTGCCCACAAACAGGGCACTGCTGTCTGGGTCCAGGGTTGGGTGGCTCTATCCTGTTCCCAAGACAAGGGCTGGGAACACAGAAAGAGCCTGTGTCCTTCCCTACCAACCCCCTTCTCACATGGGCCCCTAGCAAGCCAGCTTCCCTCTTGCAGAGCACGGTTCCATGGGTCTCTTCTGGCTCCCTGGGGGCACTCCTAGGATGTTTATGAATGGGAACCTCGTTCCTGCTCCTGGGGGACCACAAACATGAGGCTTATTTTCATCATGATGCCCAACTGTCTGCCCGTCAACAGGTTCTTGGGACAAGGAGCAGAGTATGTATTTATCAGGCGGTCCCTACCCCAGGCTAGCTAAGGGTGGGTCTCACACATGGGTGGCTTTCTTGTCCAGGGGCTGCTGCAGACCCTTCTCTCTCTGAGTCCTCAGGGTCCCTAGGGCTAGCCAGACCGTCTCCCTGGCTCTGTCCCATCTGTCTTTGTCTCTGTCTTGGCCTCTCAGTCGCCCTGCTGCCTGTCTCTGCCTGTGCTTTTCTTCATCTCCCCCTGTCTTTGTCTTTGCCTCCCCTCTTCCCTCTGCCCCATCCTGGCTATAGCCGGGAGCATCACCCTTGTTCCAGAACAGTCTAGGGAGCCTGGCTTGGGCTTCTTGCCTCCTCAGTCCTGGGTCCCCTCTTCCCGGCTGATCGATTCCACTAGTCAGCCCTGCACCCCCACTTTCTGCTTGATGGGTTCCACACCATCAGGGTTCTCTACAGCTCTGCCTGCGGTGGGGCACTTGGCCTCCACTTCTTAGAAAACCTGCAGTCCTGGCCCTGACACCTGTCTGGGCACCTCCGCCCCAGCGCACCCCTCCCTGGCAGTCAATCCCTGCGTGCCAGCTCCAACTGCATTCCTGGTGGCCTGGAGGCAGCCAGCAGCCCTGCAGCCAGCATGCGTCATGAGCAACGGCAGCATTCCTTGGTGTCTGCTGCTGCCTGGCTTTATAAGGGAGAGTGTGGAGCCCAGAGCTTCTGGGCAGGGTGGCATGTGGGGATTGCCTGGGCCCACAGTCAGGGTGGGTGGTGGGAGACCCGGACACGTGTGTGTTGAGGAGGGACACATTGGTTCCAGGATGGAGCAGGAGCTGGGAGATGGGTGGGAAGAGAGGGTGGAATGATGTAAATTCATTCATTCATTCATTCATTCATTCACTCACTCATTCATTCATTCATTCATTCACAAATACGATAGTGGAGTGATGGGCATAGAGAAGGAGAACCGACCTGGGGAAAGACAGAAAGCCTGGGAAAGATACTAAAACT